GCTTCCCAAGCAGCTCACTGTAGCAGTGCGCCACCAGGCCGGCCCAAGTTCCTCATTTCTGAAGGATCCCGTGTCGCACAGACTTTGATTAGGTGTATGCTTTTCTCTTGCTCACCTGTCTGTTACAGGAGTGTTGGCTGTGACCCTTATAATGGGTGAGGAAAGGGATCACACACCTTCCTGCCCCTACAGGACCAATACGATGAAGACCACGTGTGTCTGCGGCTATTTGGTGGTGTGCCAGGAATGAAGTGGCACATGTGACTTACACGGCGTCTGAGAAGGTGGCACTGAGCAGCAGCACAGGCTGTGTGCAGCTGAGAGCCAATGACAAACCCTCCCAACGAGAAGCATTGCAGGGTCCACTCCTTCAACTGGAAAGTGAAGAGACCAAGCCTGTGTTGCCCTGCAGTGTGTGCCAAGAGCTTTTTCTGGGCAGCACTTACAACCCTCCATCTGAACAAAGACCCCCCCCAGCAAAATGGACGACCAGAAGCTGAGGCCCTGGGCCTCCTGCTCCGTCAGTTTTGTGCTGAGATAGCAAGTGCCTGGGCTCCTCCCATGGCTGGTGGAGCCTAAACTGCTGGCTGAGACAGGAAGAGCCATTTTTAGAAAATTTTTAGAAAACTCACAACCATACTCAGGACCAGAGCGTTTCTTATTTAATTATTGTAGGTTGAACAGTGGCTCGCAAAAGATATGTCCAAGTGTAACCCCTGAAACACACAAGGTGACTTTAGAAAAGAGTGTTTGCAGATGTAATTAAGAATCATCCTCGATTTCCAACGACAGATGTCCTTAGAAGAGGACACAGAGAGACAAAAGGAGAGAAGGGCACGGGAAGATGAGGGCAGGATTGAACTTCTGCGGCCACAAGCCAAGCAACACCAAGGCCTGCCGCCAGCCACGAGATGGAGGCAACGCACAGACTCTGCTCAGAGTCTCTGGAAGGAACCAGTCCTGCGGACACCTTGCCTTTGGAGTTCTGGCCTCCAGAACCGTGAGAACAAATTTCTGTGTTAAGCTCTCCAGTCTGTGGAATTTGTTACAGCAGGCCCAGAACGCTGATGCATGCGCCCACCAACACAATGAGTGTTTTTCTGCAAGTTGCTTCAGCTGAGACAAAAGGCAACGACAGGACACTGGGAAACCCTGGCCACCACCTTCCATGCTTCATCTGAGCCTGTGGGACCCCACTTGCTGTGTGGACACCTCAGGGAATAAACATTTACTGAACAAACAAAGCAAGGAAAATTCTGGCTCTTGTTTCTAACTCAGGGTTTGGTTCTTACTGCCAGACTCACCCTGTCCACTTCACAGGGTTGTCTCGGGGGGACACGCGGTAAGGGAAGCAGAAACTCAAGTGGGTTGGGACTTATACTGCAGTCAGGAGACCAGGTCTCAGTGGCAGTCCAAACATCTTGGGGAAAGTCCAGTGGGTTTTGTGGCGGGAGGGGAACAAATCCCAATAGCACTGTCCCAGGATGGCAGCAGGATGTACAGTCACCTGCAGGCCTGTCCTCCTCCCAGCCCTGGAAGCAGTCTTTCCATTCAGAGCACAGATATCAGGCGGTTCCACATTCTGGATGCCTCACTTTACCCATCACTGCAACTTAGCACAAAACTCTACCATCTAGTACTACGCTGGGTCATTCTGCCCCATAAGAAAAACCATCAGAGGCCCAGCAACACCATCCTCTGCCTCCACTCCACAGAGCGGGCCAGCCTCGTTTCTCTGCCTTGGGGTCAACTGTTGGTTCTCTTTGTGTCCTCGAGCCAGCGCAATACCCTCTCCAAGCCAGTGCCTTCCCGGGCACTGATTTCTGCCGTGGTGATGTTCTGTTTGGCGCAGGCAATGATGTCTGGAAGCCTGATTAATGACTTAATTTCCTCTATGGTCATATAACAGGGTAAGTCACTGTAGTTAAAGAAGTTACCATTAGGGTGGTGGTTACCACAGACCTGCCCCTGACCCCCGGCTGCACCTGTTCCCTAAGGAACAATGCTCCTCCCTGGGACCCCTTACCCCCGTGCTCCCCCTTGGCTCATAGACCCATACATTTTATTGAAGAGTATCAGGACCGATGCTTCTGAGAGTTGTTCTGCAGAGAGGAGACCCAAGAGCTGCACGCAGGATGCAGAGAGCTGGGTGGGGTTAGAGGCATCGATCATGAACTGCGAAAGAAAAAGACGTCAGCAGCAATGAAGGACAGTCCTCACCAAATCACGTTCCCTGCGTGTTACAGACCCGCCTTTAGGAAGAGCAAAATGACTTTAACAAAGGGCTGTGGAAACAGGCAGCAGCATAAAGGAGTTTAGAGGGTGACCCGATGTCACGCATTTGTTTTCTCCTACATGGGAGCCTCTGTACTCCCGTGGCCGCCAGTTCTCCATCCTGGAATGTGGGGCAGGGGCCTGGTCGGGGATCAGAAACCAGACAGAGACGGAAGACGCTCCCGGGGAGCAGGGCATCGCGGAGCCCGGCGGTCTCGGCCGAGAACGCACGCTGCCCCCGCAAGTCCCGCTCCGACACCAGCGTGCAGAACCAGCGGGCCGTGACCCTGACGGGCGTCGTCGCCTGCTGCAGTCACGCGAGGCGGGCGGGCCGGGAGGTGCGGGACGCAGGCGGCCCCTAGAGGGCTCGAGGGCTGCGAAGACCCACCAGGAGAGCGCGGCAGTCCCCGCAGTAGCTGCGCCAGATGGGGCCCATGCACCCGCCGAGCTCGCGGACGGTGACCTTCCTCCGG